TCACACAATGAATTACCACGAAAAGCAATTAATGTAAAGTATTTTATACTTTTCCTTTAGTTAAATGACACAAAATGCTTTACGAGAATTTAAGATTTGTAATCTAATTATCTAATAGAATTTGTGATTTTTGCTGATTGCCAACCACAAATGTATATATTTATTTATTTTTGACCAGGTTGTAACAGCCTTAGAACAAAAAATGACAATAAAAAAAGACCCATACATAAGTAAAAACATATACTAAAAATGATAGAAAAATAAAAACAGAAGGAGAAAAGGAAGGCAATTTATTTATAACTCATCAAGTTTATATTATTTCTTGTACAGAATATTTTTCAGTAATGTATTATTAATAGTTTGATTCATACACTGTACATAAAAAATATATATACAAGGAACACATAGCATATAAAATTGTATTTACAACTCCATAAGCATATATACCTAGAGAAATTGCATTTCCTGCAGTGTGAATGCTTTTTGCAGAAAAACCTGCTGAAAAACAGCTGCAATTAGCTAAAAACATGCTGAAATGCAGCTGAAATGGAAAAACAAGCCTAAGTTAGCAGAAGAAAATAGAAAGAACACATATTTGCTGAATTTGGTTTAAATAAATGAGCACAAAAATGAGTAAATTGGCAAAAAAAGTTGAAATTAGCAAGTTATAGCTGAATAGTAGCTGAAACGGCAGAACGAAGCTTAATGTACCAGATTTAAATGAAAAGAGCACAACTGTACCCAGGTAGGCTGAAAGAAGTAGAAAAATGCACAAATGGGGGAAATTATCTGAAAAAAAAAAAGCAGAAATTTGTCAAAAACAGCTGAATAGTAGCTAAAAGCATAAAGATGCTTCAAGTATCATAAGAAAGTGGAGAGAGCACTATTGTGCCCAATTAGGCTTAAAGAAGCAGACATAAGCACAAAACTTTGGAAATTACAAGAAAAAGGCAGAAATTTGCCCAAAACAGCTGAATAGTAGCTAAAAAGGCAGAAAGAAGCTTAAATCACCAGAAGCAAGTGGAGTGAGCACATTTTTTCTGAATTAGGCTGAAAATAGATTAAATGAGTGCAAAAAATGTGTAATAAGCTGAAAAAACCCTAAATTAGCATATATAGTAACTGAAATAGCAGAAACCTGCAAAAATCAGCTGAAAGGAACATAACAAGCAGAAATAAACAGGAAGAAGTTTGAAGAAACGCAAAAACATTGATGTTAGAATAATAAAGCTGAAAGGAGCACAAAACAGCTGAAAAAACAGCAGAAATTATCTTGAAAGTAGCTGAATTAAAAAAAAATGCACAAGGAAGCTGAAAGAAGCTGAACCAGAACAAAATGTGAAAGGAGCAGTAAAAGGTTGTAAACACATCTAAAGATCTGAAGGATGGAAAACGAGCTCAATTCATCTTCTATGGGGAAAAAAGTAGCAGAAAAAGCTAAATATTTCAAAAAGCTAAAATTGCACCAAAACCAAAAGTCATTGCAGGATTGTCGTGAAAGAGCTGAACGTTTTGATTTATGATTTGTTGAAATAGCAGCAAAACTGTGAACGCTTAATAAGCATTCACACAATCATAAATGGTATTTAAACCCTTTTTGGTAACGTCTTGATTAATGTATTGACTGAACACCTTAAACAGTTCCAACAGTAAATCTGTGAGACGGTTCTGTGCAGGGCTGTGTTCTAGGTTCTGTTCTGTTCTCATTAAGGTCCATTTAAAGCACTTTGCTCAACTAAAGTTTGTAAATGCGCTTCAGAAACAGATCAAGCTGACGACATTTTTTAGCACTCAAACGTTACTTCAGTTCATTTCACTCCGGGGTTCAGAGCTGCATTACTTTGTGTTTTTCCTCTACATTTGAGACACAGAGTTTAGATTTAAGTTCAGACACCTCCCTTCTTCCAGGAGAAAAGATCAACCATGCTGCTCGCCACTGTAGTTGGCAGAAGACGCTCCTCTGGTGAATGGAGTCCCGTGAAGGAGGGAGGATTAAAACGACCCGCAGCTCCTACAATTATGAGCCAACATTGTCTTTTGAGAGCTAACCCTTTGAAGATGAAACCCATCATTACAGGTTTAGCCCACTGGGGGTCTGGGCCGTCAGAACCCGGGGCCAGCCTGAAGCAGATACAGAGCTGAGGCGGGGCGGCCGATTGATATTCATGCAGGCCTGTGATTGGATCAGCTTCAGAAAAAATAAAAACTATCAATATACTAACAGATTCATGTGGCTTGTGCCTTTGTTTGTCTGACACTTAGCAAAATATCTCCTGAACCACTGGAGTCATTTCAGTGAAACTAATCGTCTACGACCGATTCACTTTTGGAGCCAAAGCTGACAAATCTTAACCCACAAAAGGTAAAACAGACACTTTTATAGATACTGAGCTAAACTTTGGTGTTGTAGTAGCCGAGTTATTCCAAACACATAAGCCAGGTGTTTGCAACCTTTGTGATAAAAAAAAACAGCCATTTTTGCCACTTTGATTACTAATTAGTTGTCCGGAGCCACAAAACCTGCTCCAGTTGTGAACTGGTGGCCCATGGGCCACTATAAGTTTG